CTTAAGNNNACAGGTAGTGCCATGCCCCGTTACGTGGCTCACATAACTGTAATAGTATTCTTGTATATGTATTGAATGTACTAGCTGTATTGTGTGTTCTCTCTCTGTCTAGTATGTATGTATGTTCTCTCTGTATGGTATTGTATGTTCTCTCTCTGTCTAGCATGTATGTTTTCTTGTAAATGTATAGTATGTTTTGTATTGTAATGTATAGACTCATGTATGAACTGACTCATTGTATGTTCCATTGTTCTTAGTAATAGTATTAGTAACTTCCTAAACTACGCCTATTGTAGCTTACTAGTAATGTGATTTGTATGTATGAACATATATGTATACCTCTGCTACCCAAAGGTATTGAATAGAAAGAAGGAACTTTTATATCTATATACATATACATGATATATAACTAGGATTCAAACGACCTTCGGACAAATAACTGATACCCTAAGTCCACAACCAAACGAGGAACAGGAGGTTAAGGTGAGTTATCAGTCCTAAGTCCTTTCAATCCTACTTATATAACTATATCTATAAAGATATACATTTAACATAATATAAGTTAAAAAGAGTTTAAGTAAAAGTATTTGACATGTAAAAGAGTTTGATAAGAGTATTTGGTATGTAAAAGATTTTACTAAAAGTAATTGACATGTAAAACAGTTTGAAAAGTAAAAAAATCCACTTGTTTGGTAGTTATTAATTACATGTGATTGATATAATAAATATAAAAGATCAACTTGTATCCCCTCCATAAAAGCATTTAAAATCATTTAAAAGATTGATTAAGGGGTATGAACTCACCTGTAGTGAGTGGTTTGGATGAACGGATAGTATAGGATGCTAAGTGTCAAGTGAAGACTTGAACACACACAAGGATCCTAGTTAACATATAATAACACATATATGTATCCATTTAGTCATAAAACAACTAATTAACCAAGTTAAGACATCCTAAGACATGTAAAACACTTGATTTAAGTGTTATAAGTACTAAGGATTGCATCTAAGGGTTGTAGGACTTGGCTATTGAGTTTGGGGTCCAAGGGTAAACTCTTTTGGAGTTTACGGTTTTGGGACCAACTCTCATTGAGTTTACGGTCGTAAACCCATGAGTTTACGGCCGTAAGCTCATGGTACTTTTACCATTTTGTGTTTTGAAGCTTTAAAGGTCATAAGAAGCATTCCTACTTCATGTTTAAGCCTTAGGAAGTGATTAGGGCATCATTTCACCCCTTTGTGGAGTTTACGGTCCTTGGACCATTTCTCCTTGGGTTTACGGCCGTAAACCCAAATGGTTTATGGTCTTTTTGATGTTTTAAGTCCTAAGCACATCAAGGATGGTATCTAGACTAGTATCCAAGGCTTGGTAAGGGACTAGGGCACACTTTGGCCCCTTCATTAGGGTTTACGGTCCAAGAGCATCTTGGACCGTAAACACCTTTGATCTTGTGTTTCTTTGTGTTTCCTAGAAGCTTTAGAAGTGTAACAAGCCTTATAACAAGCCAAGGTAAGAGTACTTACTATGTAGAAGCTTGAAAGGGTGTTAAAAGTCCAAGAACACTAGTGTGTGTTCTTGGTGAAACTTGAAGATCTACACATATGGAATGATTTCACGGATGGAATCATGTAAGATCACTAGATTAAGTAAGATATCAACTTATTAGGGCTAGAAACACTTACAAAGTTGAAGATGAAGAAGGAAAATCGGATGCTACTTGAGAGGATTTGAGTTCTAGTTCTTGAAAGTGTGAAAAAGTGGTAAAAATGACTAAGTGTCATATTTATACCTCTTAGGGTTTACGACCGTAAACACCTTGTTTAGGCCGTAGACTCCAAACTCTTGGAGTTTTGGGACTTTATTGTTGCACAATAAACCCTAGGGTATCCTCTTTCCTGTTATCTCTTGAAGTACTAACTTTAAAACACTCTAACTGGTTCCAAAAAGCTTGAAAGTTAGTAGAAACAATTCTGACTTCTATTGAAGTGAATGGTTGTGCAGAATAGAAATTTCGGGTTGTCATAAGTAGGCCTTGAAACCAATTAAATTCTTATTTAAACAATACCTGAGAATCGGGGCGTTACAATATAAACCCGTCACCCACTAAACCCTAACCCTAATCGGGTTTTGCAGCCGCCAACTTCAATTCAACTCCCTCCAGCCGCCACCACCCCTTATTCCTCCGACCTCCGATGCTACTAACCCCCCCCCCTTCCGTCGAGTCGCAAACAGCCGTCGTGTAAGCTGTGATCGCCGAAGACCGAGTGGAAGTCGGACACCGACGTGTGGGCTGCGAATGGTTGGACCCTTCCACTGTTTCATTGACGTCGTCGATTGCGCCGCTGCTGTTCTCATCACCGGCGAGGCGAGTGTCCGAGTTCAACCCGGTGGTCGTGGGGAGGCTAGTCGAACACGTCCAGCAGCCGTTAGCCCCTCTCCGCCGATGTCACAACCCTCCGTTTACTTTCTTCATCGCTGCTGTGACGATCTGTCGCCGCTACACTGCAACCGTTGAAGATTAAGCCGCCGGCGAGCGACCTCGGTTCTGTGATGGCGCTGCGAGGCTATTCCGACGAGATTATGCCGGTTCAAATTGCTCCTCCCTCGGTGTTTGTTCAGACCGTCGTCACTGCCGCCACTCCAAGTCGCCGTTGCTGTTGCCGCCAACCTTGCTGCCACCGCCACTGTGAGCCACCAGGTGGGTGGCTGTAGTATATTTTGAAATCGGTTGTGGGTGTGTCTGTTTTGTGTGGTCGGAAATCCAAGGCTGCCACCATCTACCACCGCCTGCCGCCGCTAGGTGGTTGGATGTGCGTGTTTTTATTTACTGTGAGTGTGATGTAGTGTGTGTCGTGTGTGTTGGATATCGCGTTGTAACTTTGTAACCGATCGGAATAGTAAGAGAACTCTAAACCACCACCGTAAGGTGGTGGCTGCCGCCTCCTGCCGCCACTAGCCGCCGTGTTGGGTGGCGGTGTGCCTAGCTTACGTATTGACTCGTTTGGGGTGTTTGGACAGATTGGGCCTGACGAATCCCTAGTGGGCCCAATAAAACCCTAATGGGCCCAATGAGGCCCAAAGTGACCTTAATGCCCAACCAATTGGCTAATGGGCTAGTATTGGGTTGGAAAACCCTAATGTCTTGGAAACCCTAACTTTGGGGAATGATCGGGACCCGCATTGGAACTAATTGATAACTTAAAATAGGAATTAATAATCATTGGCAAATTAATCTAAAGCAATGTTGGACTTAATGGATTAAGTCCTTAATGGAATAAGTCATTAATGGGTTAAGTAGGAACACTTAAACCTAATCATCATTTCATGTGAAAACCCTAATTTCACTTGGGCCTTGAGTTGGGCCTTTCTATTGGGTTTTGGTGATTGGACTATTAATGGGCTTTCTAAGAATAAGTAAATGGACTAAATAATTGTATGGGTTTTAGGATAAGGCCCATGTGAGGACTTGGGCCTAATTTGGAAAATTGGGCCATAGATGGGCCATAATTGGACCTTTATGATTATGTGATATTGGGCCGTGGGAATTGGATTGGAATAATTGGATGGGCCTTAAGGAAAGACCATGTAGAGGTCTGGGCCCAATTTGGAAAGTCGGGCCATATGTTGGGCTTTGGCCAATTATTGACTTTTGGGTTCTTGTAGTGTGAGTTGGACCTTGGGCTTGGAACACAATTATTAATTGGGTATTGTTTGATGTTGACGGTCTGGGGATCTGTCAACCAAGAGTTAGAGCTATATCTGCGGGACTTCAGGAGTGCCAGGTGAGTTCTCCTCACTATATCAACAGGATCTACGGCACCAAGGCCGACCCTTTATGATTAGATTTCATCCCTGTTTAGGATGGTTGCTATGTTAGATTTCATCCTGGTTTAGGATGGTTGCTATGCTAGAGATCGGTTAGATCGGTATCCTGGTTATAGGATGGTTGCCATGTTAGTGATCTGTTAGATCTGTATGTTTACTTGTTTATATGTATGTGCACATGTCTGTTGGTTTGGGGAAAGGGTTGAGGCAGGTCCTGCTGTGTGCAGTAGGCCAAGATACCCTGGGCAGACCGGGTAGACTGCAGGCTCGGGCCGGGCAAATCTAGTCAGGCCGAAGGCCCAGCGAGCGGTCCGGATAGGCTGAAGTCCCCGAGGAGGGCGGTCCAGACGTGCCGAAGGCTCGGAGAGCGGTCCAGATAGACTGAGAACCGAGATTCGGTCCAGTCATACTGATGGCTCATTATGCCTACTGTTTGCTTATATGTTATATGATATGATTATGATTGTATGGCGTTGGTATTTTGGGGGTAACTCACTAAGCCTTCGAGCTTACATTTATCAATTATTGTTTCAGGTATTCGGATGAACGCGAAAAGGCGAAGGCGTGATCGTGCACCTCCTTACATTTTCATGACTGATTCTAGGGATACTCTGATGTTTAAATTATTTTGAAAGTAAACTGTAATAACTTAATTGTTTTAAATGTTTTAAAAAGTTTTAAATTGGCTTGAATTTTTGGGTGTTACAGACTCGCCGAGTTCTTCCTTGAACTCGACGAGTTCATCTCCTTCATGAGAATGTGTCCGGTCTACGACTCGCCGAGTTGTATGAACAACTCGTCGAGTCCATCTTCAAAGATTGGGAGATTGCCTTGGACTCGCCGAGCCTGCTCATACACTCGTCGAGTCCCATGATTCCCAGGTCCCTTTTCGTGTCTAAACATCTACGGGACTTCCTCCCTAACAACTGGTCCATCCACAGAAAGGATTTGGTGGTCAATACACCGCGACTCGCCGAGTCCCAAGAACAACTCGTCGAGTCCATCCTTGACCAACACTATACAGTCGATTTAAATGGGTCTTAACACACCAAAACCATAGATCTGGCCTCCTAATGTCCATTTTATACGTAAAGTTCCAAACTTGGTACACATGCAAGGGGTCTTTGGCCGAAAAAGCCATAAAAGATGGCCTCCAAGGTGCATGGGGTGTTCATGGCAACAAAATGGGCACCTTTGTGCCATAAAACCCCCCAATAGACCTGGATATAAAGAATACACTGACTTTCAACACTAAATCCCGAATACAACCTCTCTAGGGCTTAGAAAGATGAAGGAAAAGGCACAAAAATCAAGATCTATAGACAAAGGTTCAGCTTCATACCTCCAATAAGCTGAAAATGAGCTCCAAACTCTGGATCTTCTTGTTTCCCCTTGGTCTCACAAGCTCCTTTCCTCTTCTCAAGCTTCACAACCCACCAAAAAGCACCAAAATGGCCTTAGAACACACAAAACGGCTAGGGTTTCGATATGATGTCTTCTGGGAGCATAAGGGACGATGGAGGCTGAGATAAGGTGTTTAAATAGGGTGCAAACCTCAAATTTAGATTATCACTCAAACAGTACCTACTCGCCGATTCGGTCTCCCGACTCGTCGAGTAGGTCACTTAACCTCCCCGCGGATCACGACTCTACTTGACGAGTTGGGCCACCAACTCGTCGAGTCCCAGAGAAAAATACATGAATTTCTTGAATTAAATATGTACCAGGAATCAGGTGTTACATATCGAGGTTTTATTGGATATTTTGATTTTATTGTTTCCATCTTGTTAGGAGAAAGATAAAGGTGTGGTTCATGTTGCAAGCTTATCTTTGGGGCTGATGATAAATTGGTGGTTCATGTTGGACACTTACCTAACTAAATTGATCTCTAGTTCGTTTTTCTACCTTCTTCATATTGTAGGAAATTTTTTATTTGTTTTTTCTATTTTTAATTTTTTTGTCTCCAAATATGATTAGTTAAAAGAGGATCATTATTTGCAGCATGAGCGAGGATGCATCTCGACTTAATTCTCAAGGTACTGGCTTTAATTGTAATGCAGACTGATTTGGGGATTAGCACCCATCCATCCACACTAATCTACCTTTGCATTTGTTGGATATGCTTGATAAATTTAAACATTTAAATTTAACAAACATTACAAATATAAGTATATAACATATAATTCGTATACTTAGAGTATCCAACATATACATAATCACATGGAAATTTTGGCTTCTTCCCCAAATCTATAAGTTACTGTTAACATACTTTTCATTTTTAGTTGATGGAATCTTTTTTTAAAGAACATCAAAATTTAAGTTTAGTTTCGACATTGAGCATGTGAAAAGAATGTACACAACAGACGTGTTGAGTTGTTGTGTTTATTAGTGTGGGGGTCTTATCTTAAAGTCATCATAACAATTGTAAGTACTTTCAACTAGTACAACCAAGTGTTGAGTTGTGTTTATTAGTGTTATTTTTACATATTTTTATGTGATTTATTATGGTTTATATTATAGGTAATTGTTCGTAAGTTGGATAAACAAGAGCAAGTATCAAAAGTTTCTCTTCATGTTAACTTTCATGATTCTTCCCGAACTAGTATTTAGGTTTATCGTTTAATGCTTTGAGTAATTAGTAGCACCATGTTTAGAGTTATTAAGCCTTTTGGATGATTTTGTTTTAAATATTGAGAATATTGTTATAAGACAAGTTAAGTTTTAATTTAAGTAATGCTTTTGTGTTTTGCATTTTTTTATCTTAATTGGGTTTTTATTATTTTATATTCCATTAAATTTATAAAAAAATGGACCTAACTTTTAAATATAAATGTTTTATGGGAAAAAAGTGTCACTCAAAACATAAAAATAGTTTTTATTTTATCAACTATATACTGGCATAAAAATAGTGCCACAAAAATCGAAAGTGTTATAGCGGCATAAAAAAAAGTGCCACTAAAACACAAATGGGCTGCAGCGACACAACAAAAAAGTGTCACTAAAAGCCTTTAGTGGCAGCGTTTCTAGTTGCACTTTTTTTTGTGCTGCTGATTGCCTATGGGGGCTTTAGTGACACTTTTTTGGTTTTTAGTGGCACTTTTTCTGTGCCACTAAATGTCATTTTATTTGTAGTGGAAACTCAAACTATCCAATTTGTTGGCAAGCCATTACACTTCAAATTCTTACAAGGTGTGTCTAATTCTTATACGACTATCTACTATTGGTTTACATCGTATTCATTTATGTGCATTTTAAATTGACTTCTCTATGTTCTATCAAATGATTCATTGTTGCTAGTTCTTGCTTTTGCACTTTATATGAATGTCATATCTTTATCTAGGGCACACCATCAGTTGCTTTCCTCTTCACTACTAATTACACCCAGGTTTTACTGATGATTTTCTTCAATTAAGTTGCTTTAATTTTGAGTTTTGTGTTGATTTTCGTTGGTTGATTTAATTTCGAACACATTGCAGAGAAAGAGTAAGTTCTGAAAACTAGAATTTTTATTGTTATATTGCTCAAAGATGATATTGTATACAAATCATTTTCATATATGTTGATTTGAATAAATTGGAATGTTGGTTGTTCAAATGCATAAAATAATTCATTTTGATGAATTTATAGAGGCAAAAAGAGAAAAGATCACAAAAATATTCCCTAATGCCATAGAATTAACATCTTTTGACAGAGAGGTGGTAGTGGTTATCCTTCTTTAATATTTATATTAATTAACAATATTTATTTTTATTTTTAGAGTTCCATTCGTAAAAATAACATGAGATACATTTCTTATCACATCTATAACATTCAAAATTTTCAAACCAAAATTTTCATTTTTAATTAACTAAAAACATTGTTCATAAAAACCATCTCAAAAGAATCTCAGGTATCAAATACAAATCATCATAAAAATATCAGAGTGTCCCAAAATATCCAGAATCAGAAACTGCAGGCAAATGTATACAATCAAGCATTTGCCTTCCTACGATCATCAAATGTGACATCCCCAAATTCACGGTCAGAAAAGACCGATTTGTTCATAATTATTTAAAAATCAGAGTATCCTTTTTGAGGATTAATATTGCGGAATTTGTTCTCAAAAACATGATAATGATATTATCAAAGCATTTCCAAAGAAATGTATTTTATTCATACTAAAACGTTGGGATGTCATCGTCAATATAGAAACATAAGCATAATGAAATATTATATGCCTTACAGTAATTAGACTAGTGGCCTAATACTCCTCGAATCTCTCAGCAAAATGTATCTTTTATATCGCTACGTGTGATATAATAAACTAAGTGGGACAGGTTGGAAAACCTGGTGAGTACATAGGATTTTCAACCCACAATAATATAATCATTTTGTTACAATTATATAATTCACATCAAACAATTAACCCAATTACACGTTCCCGTTATTCTCACTCCTTGGTCCTAGATCGTTGATCTCAAGGGATCTATCCTAAAATATCTTTAAGTGAAGAATTTTGCTTCGCAGGTCCATTAGCAATATGTACTAATAAGATAGTCATCGAGTGAATGGAGTACCCACATAAATAATTTATTCATACCTACAGTTCGTAGTCCTGTCCGTATGAGGTTCCTTAACATCTACATGTCAGGGACCTAACCATGTATAATTTAGTAACACCTATAGGTCGAAGACCTGTCTGTGTTGATGGGTTTTACATGCAATAACGTGGATAAATCCTTATACATTTAAGGGTACATGTAACCTATTAGATCTAGTCATAACACTATTGAAGTAACATTCTATTGAACTACAAGAACCCTATAATCCCTAACTATTTTCAAAAATCATAAACAAGTTAGGGATTACATACCTTTTGACTATTCTTGTAGATAATCAATGAATTCCTTCTTCAATTACACTTGGAAGATAGCACCAGAAATCGCGTGCCTCTGATGGTTCACACTTAAACCCTAGCAACTAAGGAGACTTGAAGAGAGAGAGAGAAGAGGAAAAAATTTCGGCTAATGTCTTAGCAAATGGAGTGGCCGAAATTAGAGGCTAATGGACCTTATGTATAGCTGATAGGAAAACCCTAGATAACCCTTACTTAATTAAAATACTAATATCTCAAATCAGGTAATTATCTGGTTTCCTAATTATCTTCAAGGGATATTCTAGAAGCCCTAGAATCATCCTCCAAACCGTCCACCTTTATGGGGAAGGTTCTAGAACCCTTTTGTTTAACTATTAAATAATTACAGGTTAGGTCCTTATACTATTAATTAATCCAATTAATCCCAAAATTAATTCTAATTATTTATGATTAATCCTTAATTAAATAATATTATTTCTAATTAATATATTATTCTCATAATATATTAATAAATCGTTTATTGCTATTTATTAATCATATAATAAATCAATAAATTAGTCTCTCTCTAAAAGTCATCATATTCAATTACCAGGTTTGAGGGTAAGCGAAAAGGAATTTTCTAATAATATAAATATATACTAATTTTAGTTATTGGCTTAGACACCTAATCCAATAGTCTCCCACTTGGATAAGTCCATAACTACAATAGCCAGTATAACTTCTAAATTAACAGCAAAGGGTGCTTCCTAGAGCAACTCCAACCTCTGATCTGATTAGTCATTAGTCCTATGACAAGTGACCAAATATTCCTCTATTCTACAAGGTATCACATGGACACGAGACATGGATTAGAATCAATCTCATTGTCCAAAATTATGTTTCCCGATTTCCCCATTTCCTGATTTGTGATGACCTCATAATACTTTTAATTGAACACATCAATTTGGTCCTGGTTGGGTCCAACACTATAAGTCAACACCAAATCACCGAGGGGCCCAAAGATATCGCTTTTCCCATCAGGTAAAAAGGAACGAATAAACTTTGACTCATATGCTTGTATCATTTACTCACCAAACATACATGACACTGTGTTTTATAACATCAAGTTATTGATGCATTTACATAACACCAATGCACAACCAACTTGTAAATTACAACTCATACATCTCAGTTTTAAGAATATAAGATATTATCGTCTCAGAGTTACTTGTGATAGAATCCATGAAGTAATTCTCTGAGCGTGGGTTTATCCAATACTCAAATCTCTATTTTTTAAGTACTTATGAATGTTGTAGCAACATAATTGATATGTCTAAACTCCTTAGACAATCTACAACCCAATTCATGATAATCTTCATTCACTACTTACTTCCTAAAGTATGAGCGACTGTGGATCTTCGAATAATCAAATTATTCAGTAATTAAAACATGCAAAACAAAACACAAGAATAAAACAAAGGCAGTAAACAAACTTATAAATAATCTTTATTATTTAATCACCAAATTCAATTACATTTATTCTATTACAAGTTTCAAACTAATCACCTAACTACTAAAACTAATATCATCTCTCAAACCAATGCTCCTAGTATGTTGATTATGCTTTACCCTACTCAGAGCCTTTGTAAAAAGATCTGTAGGATTATCTTCTGATGAAACTATCTCAACTATGAGATGACCTTCTTCAACTCTATGTCTGGTATAATGGTACTTTCTTTCGATATTTCTTAATCTACCATGATCTCTCGGTTCTTTGGTCAAAGCAACTGCTCCTTCATTATCCCAGAAAAGTTCCATTGGCTCCTAAATGATTGGAACTACTCTGAGATCACTAATGAAATTCTTCAGCCAAACCACTTCCTTTGACGCTTCACTCGCTGATATGTACTCTGATTCACAAGTAGAATCAGCCACCGTATCCTGCTTGGAACATTTCCAAGTGACCGCTCCTCCCTTTAAAGAAACACCCAGCCATATTGAGAACGAAGATTGTCTCGATCTGTTTGAAAACTGGTGTCACTATACCCACTTAATTTCAATGTATCAATGCCACCAAGGACTAGTATCAGATCCTTTGTCCTTTGCAGATAATTAAGAATGTTCTTTACTAGTGTCCAATGAGCTCTGCTAAGATTTCCCTAAAAGTGACTTACCATGCTTAAAGCGAAAGACACATCAGGGAGAGTGCATGTCATAGCGTACATGATCGATCCTACAACCGAAGCATATGGGACTTGACTCATTTCTGCTATCTCTTTATATGTACTAGGGTTTTGAGTCTTACTCAACTTGGCATTACTCTGAATAGTTAGTTCTCCTTTCTTGGAATTTTCCATACTAAAACGTTTTAGTACCTTATCCAAGTATGTACTTTGACTAAGACCAATTAGTCTTTTCTTTCTATCCTTTAAGATTATTATCCCAAGAATATAGGTTGTCTCTCCCAGATCCTTCATAGCAAAACACTTTCCAAGCCAAGAATTTACTCCTTACAAGGTTGGAATGTCGTTTCCTATAAGGAGTATGTCATCAACATACAACACAATAAAGGTTACTATACTTCTACTAGCCTTGACATACACATAGGACTCATCTTCACTCCTAGAGAAACCAAATTCTTTGACTTTCGCATGGAAGCAAAGATTCCAGCTGTGGGATGCTTTTTTCAATCCATAAATGGATTTATTAATCTTACATACTCTATTAGGAAACTTTGCATATACAAAACCCTCTTTATGACTCATGTAAACATCCTCAGCCAACTTCCCGTTAAGGAAAGTAGTTTTAACATCCATCAGCCATATTTCATAATCATGAAAGGAAGCTATGGCGAGCATTATCCTAATAGACTTTATCTTGGCCACTGGTGAAAAGGCCTCATCATAGTCAATCCATGGTGTTTGAGTAAAGCCATGCGCAACCAGTCGTGCCTTGAAAATGTGTACCTTTCTATCCATGTCGGTCTTCTTCTGGAAGATCTATTTGCAACCAACTGTCTTTCGACCAGGTTCTTGATCAAACAAATTCCAAACTCGGTTATCATACATAAAATTGATCTCGCTATCCATTGCCTCTTTCCACTTGGCAGCTTCAGGTCCCACCATCGCTGACTTGTAGTTAGTTGGTTCATCTAAATTTGCTAGTGTAATATCACTGATAAACGTCATCATCTGACGTTACATGGAGACCATAGAACGTAGGTGACATGCTAACTCTACTAGATCGGCGAAGAGGTATTGAATGGTCAATGGGTTCAACTATAATTTCTTCCTCAGGTTCAGTGCTAGTATCTTCTAAGGTTCCTTCACCGGTTGACTCTTGAATCTCTTGAAGGTCAATTGTACTCCCATTGTCCTCTTTGCATATGAGCTCTCTCTTGCGAAAGACTCCTCTTCATGCTTCAAAAACAACGTTCTCACTAGGTCTATAGAACAAATATCTAGAAGACTTTCGTAGGTAACGAATGAAAATACATCTCTCACTTCTAGTCTCTTGCTTATCATGAGTCTCACATCTAACGAAAGCTTCACAACCCCAAACCTTGATATGTGCTAACGAGGGAA